AAACAATAGCGGGAGCTCATTACTTCAGAGTTTTTCTAAACTCTTTAGATTGAGTAAAATAAATATTCAAAAGAAATCATACATGCAGTTTGATCTGCACTAAAGTTGCAGAAAAGTCCATCGAGGATCCCTCAGAGGCATGAGGAAGAACAGTATTACCTTTACATCCAGACTCATAGAAAACACACTTGCTCCTGTTTCAGAGCCTAACCTTATTTTTTCTGAAGTCTGGAACCGTTGGTGGCAGGCAAATCCCTGTTATTGCCTGTAGGCATTCCTCAAAATATATCAATTATCCTATCCAGTTGCATTTCAGATGAATTATGCTCTTGTTACCAAGGCAACCAAATATGTCTAACAAGAAATAACCATATTTTTTGTTCATGCATACCTGGGTTGCCAGAGCAACCTTAGAAAATGGATCACCTGAACAATGTGTGTGCAGTCTCAAGGGAACATGGTTCTTATCAGCTGTGGGATGTCCACCTGTTGAGCCAGGAGCATCACCTCCCATCCCAGTCTGCCACTGGTGTAGTGCTGGAAAGACCCAAGGGCTTTGGAGACCATCACACTTCTCAGACAACACAAGAGGAAGTAGAAGGCAACACTCACAGGAAAAGCAGAGCACCCTCAAATGTCTGCAGTTAGAAAACAAAGCTTGTAAAGTCTGTACTAAAATATCTGTATTTGAGCCACAATTCCTGCAAGGAGTAAAAGATGGTTTATCCTGGCTGACACTTGCAGACAAGTTATGTTCATTACCAGCTCCACTGCATACATTGCTCACAGGCCATCAGTAGCAATTCTCTTTGGATAGGCAAGATTTCAAAGCTAAGTGGAAAGACCAATCTATAAGCAGACTTAACATCAAAATACTTTTAATTCTCTTGGGTATCAACTTGTGTGCAGACTAGCCCCATGTGATAAGAGAAAGAAATGAAGAAAGTTATTTTAAAAGCTTCTTGAAATAATCTTTTATTCCTGAAGTCAGGAAAAAAATAACAGTAAAATAGTGACCTGAATGGTGATCTGCAGTCAGTATATTTATTATTAACATCACTTGCCTATCTTTACAGTAATACTTCCTTTGTTGGATTTTTACATTTATTCAGGAAGAAATTCAATAAATAATAAAGCACTTCCTGTGGTAGTACACTACAACACAGTGTGAAACATAAGCTCTCCAAACACATTAATGAAGGAATACTATTCAGAATTCCAAGTTACAACACAATTGAATAGTTTTACATGTACACACACAAAGAGTATAATGTCTGGTCATTCTACATTGTAAGGAAGTTTCTGTTTTCCAAAACAGCCACAGCTTAAAAACAAGATCAGCAGGGAATAAAGGTAAGAAGCAGATTGTTTTCTGCTTGATACAGGCAGAAAGGTAACGCTTCAATCCCTCACTTAGGAGGGAGTTTAGAAAGTCATGCCAAAGAGTGGAATGATTACTACTGCTTCTCAGCTCCAGTTTCAGACGTGCTGCTGAGCTGTGTCAGGTGCCAAAGTACATCCTAACCACACAGCCACTCACTATCTCTCAGTTAAAGACAAGAAAAAAAAAAATTAAATATGTACACTAATTAAACAGGAATCTACAATGTGCTATTAAGGTATGTCGTGGAGTATGTTGTCCAGACTACAATTCATTCCAGCTATGGGAGCATTAAGAGCAGGTACTCTGACAGCTTACTGCATAAATCACACGTGGGATGGGAGAGGAAGATGGACAGGGAACCCTGTCCTATTCCCATCCCCACGTGCTTTTAGCCAAGCTCCAATGTGGAAGCTGATATAACTATGCTGTAAACCAGTGGGCCCTCACACCTACTGAATAAATAGAGGACCCTTACTGTCTATAATCCAAGAACAGTAACAGAAAAGTAGGGATTAGAGGGTAGAAATTGGAGAGTCCAGAAAAAGATTAAGATGGGCCATCAGCCTAATATGAATTACTGTAGGAATAAAAGGGAAAATCAGCTTCTCCCTACAGCAAAGTGCTAATTTACTTCATATATAGTTATCAGTCAGGAGAGTCTATCTGACTTGCAACCCAGGAAAAGCATAACAGTAACTTTATACGCCCTGCACAACCATGAAGGTTAAAACACCATTTCTATTCAACCTGGGTAAAGTAAAAGGACAAAGAAACACAGTAACAAAGCATAAGGAGCAAGGCAATACAGTGTTATGGGAAAGCAGCAAGCACCTCAGGCACTTCACAAGCTGCTAAATAAAAAATTTCTCTCTCTTTTGCAGTAATTTTCAAGGTTTTTTTCTTCCCCCTCCATCTCTTCCATGTAAAAAAAAACCCCACAAAACAACTACAGCTGACAGCCTTTTGCTGAAAAAGTATTTTGATGTCTTTTTCACCCAGAGGAAAAACCAGAGGAATATAAGAAACTTCATGTCTCAGCAGCTCATTCCCAAAAAATGGTATCATGTCAAGCCAGTGACTTCATACCTTAAGCGTAAAGCACTAGAAAAAGTCAAAGTTTTCATCTCACCAGCCTTTTTAAAACCAATACACTCCTGAAGAACATGCTGAATTTAACAAAATTGCACACTGCTTTGCAATTATCCTGATAAGGTCTACCTGGTCCTATAACAAATCACAGGAAGACTCTTCAAGAGCATCAGCTGAAGCCAGCATCAGTAAAGTAAATAGCTAGAAGAGTGTTGCATTTTGCTGTCACTGTGAATTTAGCTAGGCACTAGAAGGTTTCTTAAAAAGATGCCCACCTGCCAGAGGAGAACAATTCTGAAAGGTGACCCCTGAATATGTACATTTTCCACATCACTAATGTTTACTAGGAATTGATTTGTTTGTAACTGTTAAATCCCCTCCACTAAAGACAGAAATTGATCTTTGCTGCAGCCACGTCTAGAAACCTACCACCTGCTACAGGCTGCCACTTTGAGCAGTGTCTGCAATTCTTCTGAAGGAAAGTGTTAAAGATGCTCCTTGACTTGGAAACACATCTATGGTACAACTGGGACAGCAAATTGACTTTGATCCTTTTGCTGTGGCAGTCACATGAGCACCAGGTATAAATCACACCTCTGTTCACAACCAGGAGCTTCTCAAGAGGACGCTTAGTCCATACTCTTCCCTCTCCTCCAGAATAATCAATCCATTTCTCTATGGGACTCTAAAAGTGTAAAACCTCCAGTGCCAGGGACTGCACAGAATCCATTCCAATACTTGACTATACATAGCTTGAAAAGCTTCTTTAATATCTAGTATAAGACCCCCTTGCTGTGTTTTAACCACACTGATGCAACAGGTAGGGACATTCCTTCCCCTCCATACTCGTACCATGCTGGATCTACCTTAAGGCTGTTATTCATTTCTCTAGAATATATATACTCAGTTCTTCCAAGATTTCCCCACAAATCATGGTTACTAAACCTCTGAAAGTTCTTGCTGTCCTTCCTTAGTCCCTGTTGACCATCCCCCACAAGCGTCATTCCGCACACACAGGGACAGACCTTGCTTGCAAGATCTTTTGGTATATTCCACTGTTCATAAATGCTTTCTCCTTATCTACTTCCCCATCTAGAATTTTCAGGGTTTAAAAATAAGTCAACTGAGCCTGGAGGCCACAGGAAGATCTGATCATGCCTTTTTTATGTTAGCTGATATATTCCACAGTTAAATAAGAATAATTTCAATTAACGAGATTCTCATTTACTGCACTAAGCATAAGAGTTTTGGCCTACAACAGGTCTCTTGGCAGAGATTTGTACATTATGGTAGCAGGAACTGCCACTATTTCATCTGCAATTAGACAACAACAAAAACAATTCCAACAATAACCTTCTGTACATATCCTATACTACTCAAGAATCTTACAACATTAAGTCCATACACATAGATTAATCTCTATGAGTGCAAGGAATTGTTTTTAAGATAATAAGGAGGCTACTTAGGAGGACACAATGCTTCTTTTTATATTTCTCTCTTCTCTAAAGTGTAGATTTTCTGTAACCGCAAAAATCAGCACATCTTATCTGCAAGACAGAGAAGTTATGTCCCCACATGTAAATATTAAACTATACATAAAGCTGCTGGGAAAGATCTAATGCAGTTGTTTAATGTGTGAGGAACAGGAGGCAGCAGCACAGAGGGAACTGTGCAAATGAAAGGGGACCAGTTGCATTTGCTTCCTAAAGCACACACTAGACAAGTGAGCACAGCATGTTTCATTAGAAACAATGCAATCTCCTTTTCAGCTGGCTGGCATTTTGGCAAGGCTGCTGATAGATCAGAAACCCAGAGCACAATTTGTTTGCCATGCTGTAGCCTACTTTTGTTTAATCAGACAGCCACTGTTGAATGTGACCCTGCTGTCAACAACAAACCTCCAGACCCGCGTTCACACGTCAGAGCAAGTGTGTTGTGTGTACGTGAGCTCTCGCTCATGCTGTGATTAAAAATGTAAGCACCTACTATTTTCAGTCTGAAAGGCAGCCAAAACCCTTTTTGTTCAAATTGGCACAGGGAAGTCTTCTCATGCCCATTCCATCGTATTAGCAGCACTCCATAAAATGGCAAAGAAGGATGGATAATTTTGAAAGAGTTTGTGACTGGAATGCGATGGTTTGACTTAGAGCGTTGAAGTAAAGGCAAAACACGCCTTTGTGCAGGGTACATTCGGAGTGTAATTGCCAGCTCTTTGCAGGAAACCGGTCTCCTTAGCACTAAAAAGTCTCTCAATGCTTTTCATTAAGGATCTGACTCAGCTCATCCGAAATAAACTGAATCAGACCTTACCAAGCCTGCCTCTCTGTAAGGTCCAAAGGTCTCCCCCTGCTCTGGTAGGACCATAAATGAGTCTTACCATTGGGCATTTGGACATTCAGTTTCTATCTCGCAAAAATAGCCTCAGTTTTAGGCTGAAAATTAACACCTGTAAATACAAAAAAAGGTGGCATGGAAATACTGCCTCAGTGATCAATTCAGCTACTTCTTTGTTCCTTTCATCTTTCAGATGGCAAGTCTGTGTTCTGTGATATTCCCTGTTAACTGAGCTGACAGCACCTTCTACTTGGTGACACTCACACCACAAATCAAGAGCTGCAGACTCTCAGAGAAGAGGCACTGACTTACAGAGGACCAAACAGAAAACATCATAAGACAACACAGAAATATTTCTAGTTTTTTTGCAAAAGAAGTTCTCCGTTAAATTCTAGAAAAGCCAACACTTTCCCACAGAAAATAGGGTGGGGCAGGGGGATTAACCAGGTCCTTGGGAAACCGTTCCTTTGTTTAAAAGAACATTTGACCATCTTTACTCAGTTCTTAAATATCTCAAGAAATTTCAGCTGCAGACCACCATCCATCCATCCATCCATCCATCCATCCATCCATCCATCCAATAACTTCTCTAAAAAGATCACATAATAATGCCTCCACCCCCTCCCACCTCCCCCTTTTTGCCCTTAGAAAGCCCAGCAGGACTGTCTGAATGCAGAATGTAATATCGAAACTACTTCATAAAATGTTGACATGACTTAATAAATATGAATGCATTTAAACATGCTCTGTGCAAAATACTCATACTTAAGAAACCAGCCTAAATATCACAAAAATAAAATAGCATCTTCACAGCAGAAATACATTATGCATAACTAGAAACAAAAAAGACAGTTGAAGACCGTTTATTCCTAGATGTTGCTCTGTTTCTTCTATTCCACTAACACTAGAAAATGCATTAAAGTAATATAAAGTATCAAAACAAAACTTTACTAATGCCATGTTTGAGAAAGCATGTCTTTGTTGCCAGAGATTTCTTAAATCACAGTTCATACATTTTGTAAATGTCTGTGCCTCACTTTCAGGAATTTGTACCCTTTGATTTTCAGTTTCTGCATGTTCAACCACTTCCCAAAGCTCCTAAGAAAATAAGTGCTGAGATTTGGGGTTTTGGGGTTTATGCTCTGTGAGTGTGTGGGGTGGGGGTTTGGGAGAAAAATAGGGAAAGAGCCAAAGAGCAAAACTTTTTTGAAAGGAAGGGACCCATAAATGTATTGAAAAAAATTGCTGTTTCTTCTTAATTACAGCAAAAAATATGGCTGGAATTGAAATCCCCAGAGGAGTGAGGACATCCAATCTCACTAATTACATAGGCCAGTAGCGGGTTGCAGAAGCCTCCACAGGTTTCACTGGCCCAAGCAAACCCAGCATCCCAAGGATATTGGCCAATGCAGCTGAACCCTCCAAATTTACCATTTAAATATTAAATGCAAAATGATCCAGAACAAAAGCTATGGGTTTCCAGCTGGTTACTACCAGGTGCAAGTAATTCTTTTTATTTTTTTTCACACACTCAAGCTATAATCCCTTTTAATTTAGTCATGTTCTGTCTGGAGTAATAGATACTATTTTCTGCCTCTATAAATTGCCCTTGAACTTCAACTGAGTAGCACATTCTGCTTCCCCTCCTGATTAGAACTGTTTAGACTTACTGTGTCCTGTTAAGCAGCTGGCCCATTTCCCCTCATAGCAAGCAAATTGTTCTCTTTCCAATACTTGTTATTTTTAGAAACAAGAGGTTTTAGATTTAAAAATAAATAAATCTTGCATATCACAAGACATTAGCCTTGCTTTCAAGGTTTATTTTTTTAATCCTTGTGGTAAATCTGACTCACCTTGCATTATTTCTGCCTCCCCCTTTCACACTAGGCTTGTCATAAAAACAGCTCTAACTTTGTAAGGAGGAAGATTAGAAAATAGTCAAAGGTGGGTCTGCCAACTGTATATTAAAGTCAGGTGTGTTTGGATGCTACTTGTTAAAACTCAGCATATGATTCCAATCAGTTTTTATCCAGGACTGAATCAGAAAACAGTGTTTTAAATCTGAAGTTTACATAAGGCCCTAGTACTTAGCTTTATAGGAGATCAGACTCAACACATAATTTGCAGAGAGCTTGAGGTCTGTGCACTATTCCTAAGGAATTGATATGACAGATAAGAAAAAACATTATTTTTCTTTTAGGCTGAAATGCCCACTGCTACTTGGGACTAGTAAGGCATCCACAGGCTGAAACACATCATCAATGTGACTGTGGCTGCAGCTCATCGTGGGGGAATCTCTGCCAGGTGGTAAAATCTACAAAAGTGTTCTTACACCAGTACCAACACCTCCCTAAAGGTTACACTTCTATGGTATTCTCTCAGACAGTTTTTTCAGTTCTCCTTCCATTAACTTTGGAGCAAAAACAGCCTCGAAGGGAAAAAGACAGAAATAAAAAGGCAAAGCATTAACAGGAGAAAAATGAAGTATGGTTGCTCCCAGCTATTTCAGCTGATGGGAAGCGAGGAATTGCTAATAAGAGCTGCAGTTTAAAGCAGGCTGTGCATATGTTAAGCAGGAGTTCTGATGTGCATTTTGCATCCTGCATTATATATTTGAGTCCAGGAATAGAGACAGAGCTGGGCAATCTTAGCACTCTGTGGAGCATGTATTAGAAGGGTCCCAAAAGTAATTAGATAAATTGAATGAAATCCAACTTGACAAGTAGGGGTCATCTTATTCTATGAAGGCTCAAGACAGAGACCAAGGGGGCAAATAACAAGTGATTGAAGGGCACAGCTAATTAAAGTGCCTGCTATATTAATATTTATGTTAAAGTTTCCTGTAGCTCTGGCCTTGACCTGGCAGCTGGGTATACAATGTGTGTCCTTAATTTTAATAATTTTCAACATTATTTCTCATATGGTTATGAAAGTACTTTAGACAGGTTGTTATACCTGTCTCTTCTATGCTCTGACTAAAATGGCTGAGAAGTGTAAAAATTGCTGAAAAAAAATTAGGTAACATGTTCAAAAACAAGTCCCTCTTATTCAATCAGCAGAAAAAAAATAAAGGTAAGAAACACTGCCAATTATGAGTGCTTTCTGTTCAAAGCTGTCAAAAATGCTCTTCCATCTTCATGATACCTTACCTTCATTTTATGGGTAGGGAAACCGAGGAACAGCTGTAAAGGTTCACTGGGAGATGCATTCTGTAAGCATTTGAGAATCACTGCAGCCTGGGATTCCTGCACATCAGTACTTCAGAGGCGTAGAGCTGAGGTGCTTTGCATTTATATAAAGAAAATTACTTTGTTACTTCATCAAGTATGTGAAACAGGGACACTGGGGAGAAGCTTCTATACATCAAGCTACAAACCCAAAAACCACACAACATCCCCCCACACACTTTTTCTTGCTGGAATATATTTTTTTAAAAAAGAAAACAAACAAAAAACCAAACCACCTAATTTCTCTCATCTCAGAGTAAAAAAATATTTAAACTGAAATTACAATTTGGCAATTTCATCCTCAATCTATAATGACCAAGACATTATCTTTCAGAGAATAAACTTTCACACACACACACACACAAATAAGTCAGTAAATTTAAGTCACTTCAATCTTTTCTCTGCAGAATGGGAAAGAGAGAAAATGTCAAAGTGGTGGTTGTTCTAGAACCCAGCTGCTGTTAGCAAGACTGTAGACATCTTTGGCTGGAGATTTAGCATCAAAATATTCACAGCTAGCAGGAACATTGACTTAAACAATTTGCCTATGTTAGGACAGATTTAGGAATTGTGTCCTGGTCTTCTTTGCCTTGCCCTGATTTGTTTCTAATGTAGAGGCAAGGGGGAGGATAACATTTCCAAGCTTCACATGAGAAGCATGGCACAATATAGATTCTATTTAAAATTATGCATATGGAGGGATAAATAAAGGTTTTCCAAGTGGGATTGTTTCAGTGCCAAATTTCAATAATCCTTTTAATTACATTGTTGTACTTCTATTTTAGATAACAAGAGTGTATCTGGTACTCTGTGTACAGTCTGCAGAAGTAGGTGCATCCACTGGCTTTCTGGCACTTTGCCTCTGTGTCTGAGAGAGTTCTAAAGCTTGGGTAGCCATGCCAGCACACACCATTGTTTGTACCTGCTGCAATTCAGTTAGTACAGCAGCAGTTGTAGCAATTTAGCAAGTAGAACACCCATTTTACTGTCTGTTTTATTACCAAGACAGATAAAATTTGTACAAGTGGTGCTCAGGGAACCAGCATATAGCAGTACATCTGAATTAAAAACAGGAGTATTATCTAGCTGAACTCATTAGCATTTCCAGGAGTGGCTGAATAGATTTGTTTCCCCATCCATTGTCCCTGCACAACAACCAAATGGTAGAGGTAGAGGTCCTGAACCTCTATAAGCAACTTACCAGAAGAAAGCAGATAAAACAGCAGTGCTGACTGGATGAACAGCTCGTGGCAAACACTACTGACACCCCTATAGAACACACAAGAATAACGTAAGATTTGTCTGCCACGTACCTTCCAATGGTCAGCTCAGCAAATTTGATGCTTCATGGAAGACAATGCTTCCCAGGCTTTGTAAACAGAACACAGGAAAATGACTTTTCAGTCTGAGACCCAAAATGGGACTTTAGCATCCCCAACTCCCACCTCAGGTGCCACTTGTCTCCTACATGTCTCAATTTCAAATTTACCTACTTCTTGAGCACCTCAAACATATTTCCCCCAGGATCACAGAAAGGGCAGCTGTGTCCAGTCCCTGCTTGGGGTGCTGTTCTCACTTTCCAAAGCATAGTCCTTCTACAGACACACACAGGACTCCAGCAGGTAGTGCCACAGCAGAAGGATATCTTCATTTACAAATGTATGCTGCATCTAGAAGGAGAACTTACAGTGCAAACTTTAGGAACCTTCCCCAGATTCCATCATGATCAGCATTCCAGCAAAAAGGGGGCTCATCTCTAGACACCTAGAAACCTAGAGCCAAGGAAGGGAGCCAAACAAGCCTAGTTAAGCATAAGCTATGGAGGTATTCAGGTGAGTCCAGAAACAGGTTAGGATTTGAGTGCTGATTAATACATTTCATATAACTAGATACTGAATAATATTCTGTGTAAATATTATTGCATCATCATGTCCCTCCCAGCTGCAATGCAGGCCAAAGTTCTGACTTTCCAGACTACTTGGGGTGGTTTTCCTCAAGCTAGAATTTAAAAATGTTGCACATAATGCATAGAGAAGGAAGTGTTTCTGCTTTTCAGTACACCTTAGAACTCTCTGCCTCTTGTTAAACAACATACAATATAGTGGGTAGTATTTGGCAACTTTTAAACAGAAATTTTTTTTTCAGAAGATATTCCTTATATTGAATATATATATATATATCTATATATCTTGGTACTGTACCCTCACATAATTTTTTATTGCTTTTCTGTCTGAAGCCAGAAAAACACTGCAATTGCAATCTCATTAATGAGACAAACATTTTTAGCCATATTCTAGTAAGTGAACTTTGTAATTGTGCTGTTTGTAACCTGAGAAAAATGACATCTCAACAACCTGCACACTTTGCCAGCAAAAGCCCCTCATTACCGAAGTCCTTGAGAAAACTGGCAGATCCCAGTGACTGAAGAGATAGACCTGAAGCCTGTACCTACACACAACCATGCCAGCAAGCATTCAAGCAAAGGATTCAGCTAACAAAGCTCAGTTCTGCACGAGTTAATAGCAAAGTCAGATTTGGTTTCCAAAGCTTCTTCCACATCCAAGCATGGCTCCAGCCTATTTACAGCCCTGTCTTCCAGTATGTTTCTTTGTAAGTAAATAAATAATCATAGCAGGCTCCAGGACTGATCCCTACATCTCATAG